AGTATCAAAAATGCATGAAGAGGGCTGGGAGTATAGCTCAGTTGTTAGAGTGCTTCCCTTGCAAGTACAAGACCATGGGTTCAATCCCCAGCACCACTAAATAAAAAATAAATAAATAAATAAATAAATATTTTTAAGTATATAGGTCATTTTAATATTTATGATTTCACTTGATTGTTAGGAAAACTTGGAAAGACTTACTTGGCCGATACCTTTTTTTCCTAACATTTCTTTCTTTTTTATTTATATGTAACAACTCTAATTACAACTCTAATTACATATATAGAGTTCAATTTTTTATATCTCTGGTTGTATATATAGTATTCTCACACCAATTTGTGTCCTCATACATGTACTTTGGATAATAATGATCATCACATTCAACCATCATTAATTACCCCATGCCCCCTCCTTCCCCCTCCCACCCCTCTGCCCTATCTAGAGTTCGTCTATTCCTCCCATGCTCCCCCTCTCTGTCCCACTATGAATCAGCTTCCTTTATCAAAGAAAACATTCGATATTTGTTTTTGGGGGATTAGCTAACTTCACTTAACATTATCTTCTCTAACTCTATCCATTTACCTGCAAATGCCATGATTTTATTTTTTTTATTGCTGAGTAATATTCCACTGGATATATATGCAACATTTTTTTTCCATTCATCTATTGAAGGGCATCTAGGTTGGTTCCACAATTTAGCTATTGTGAGTTGTGCTGCTGTGAACATTGATGTGGCTGTGTCCCTGTATTATGCTGTTTTTAAGTCCTTTGGGTATAGACCGAGGAGAGGGATAGCTGGGTCAAACGGTGGTTCCATTCCCAGTTCTCTAAGAAATCTCCATACTGCTTTCCATATTGGCTACACCAGTTTGCAGTCCCACCAGCAGTGTATGTGTGTACCTTTTTCCCCACATCCTCGCCAACACTTATTGTTGATGGTATGCATAATAGCTGCCATTCTGACTGGAGTGAGATGAAATCTTAGAGTGGTTTTGATTTGCATTTCTCTATTTGCTAGTGATGATGAACATTTTTTCATGTGTTTGTTGATTGATTGTACATCATCTCCTGAGAAGTGTCTCTTCAGGTCCTTGGCCCATTTATTGATTGGGTTATTTGTTTTTTTGGTGTCTAGTTTTTTTGAGTTCTTCATATATCCTAGTGATTAGTGCTCTATTTGATGTGTGAGGGGTAAAGATTTGTTCCCCAGATGTAGGGCTCTCTGTTCACCTCACAGATTGTTTCTTTTGCTGAGAAGAAACTTTTTAGTTTGGGTCCATCCCATTTATTGATTCTTGGTTTTAATTCTTATGCCACAGGAGTCTTATTAAGGAAGTTAGGGCCTAATCCCACATGATGGAGATTAGGGCCTACTTTTTCTTCTATAAATAAATAAATAAGATTTTTTTTTTTTTTTGATGCAGAAGAATGAATCAGTATCCTTTACCTTTTGGTAGGGGTAAGAGGAAGATTGTGATGAGAAGAAATGTGCTGGAGGCTATGTGTGGTTTCAGGTATCCTCATTCTTAAGAGGATAGTGTGTCAGCATGTCTTAATGAAAAATAGGAAGAAATCAAAACAATAAGGGATAGTTACTGATTATATTATTTTGCTAGGGCTACCATAACAAAATACCATAGACTCGATAGTTTAAACAGAAATTTATATTCTTTAAGCTCTGAAGGCTGAAAGTCGATAAGAATATGGTGTCACCAGTTTGGGCCTTTCTTTTTGGCTTGCACATGGCCACCTTCTCGCTGTGTTCTTACATGGTCTTTCTTCTATGTGGGAGTGTCCCTAGTGTCTCTTTGTGTGACCAGATTTCTCCTTCTTATAAGAACAGCAGTTGAGTTGGTTTAGCGTCTACCCTGAAAGTCTCAGTTTGATTTAGTTACTGCTTTAAAGGCTTATCTTCAAATGTAGTCACATTCTGAGGCACTGGAGTTTAGGACTTAAACACATGAGTTTTGGGTGGGTACAGTACAGCCCATTTTGTAAAGATCTTGAATAGTGAATAAGTTTTTGGGATTTTGATAAAGTTTCTTAAGCCAATGTTTTAGATTCAGAGAGTGCTATATCTAAAAAAATCTAAGATAGAACTAAAGATATACTCAGGAGAACAGTGTTAAATGACTTAAAATATGGATTTAGTGTTGGTGTTAGTTATGCATGTGTGTACTTGGAATATAATTGGTTTTTGAAAGTGTAAAGGTAATAAACAGTAATTTCTAGATCAAAACATTTTCCTGTTTTATATAAATACTGTAAATGTTTAGTCAAATGAATAAATCTAATATTATGACTAGATCTTTTAGTCTTATCACCATCTCTGGCATTTATAAATTGTACTTGGCAAAAATTTTTTTAAAAATCTTTTCACTGGGAAAAGAGAGGATGGATTTTATTTGTATATTATTATATTATATTACCCAAAATGGTAATTTTAGTACAGTAAACTCTACTATAATGCAGTATATATATTTTTAAAAATTACTATACTATGTAAACCCATGCAGCAAGACCACAAAGCTAAGAGAAAATGGAGGCACAATACTCAAAAACTTCTTCAGTGATACAAGGATAAGAACCTTGTAGATCAAAACATTTTCCTGTTTTATATAAATACTGTAAAAATATCCCCGTGGCTTGGGAGGCTGAAACAGGAGGATTGTGAGTTCAAAACCAGCCTCAGCAACTTAGCAAGGCACTTAGAAACTCAATGAGACCCTGTCTCTAAATAAAATACAAAATAGGGCTGTGCCTGGGGCTCAGTGGTTGAGTGCCCTGAGTTCAATCCCTAGTACCAAAAAAAAAAAAAAAAAGAATCTAGTAAAAATAGCAGTACAATTTTATTCATATTAAATGGTTAAGAAATACATAGACACTACAATAAGCATGGTACCAGATTTTTACCTGAGTGTAGTGGTTTATTGATGTGATACACAGAGAAGTATCACTTCTTCGTCTTAAGCATTATTTTCAGTGGCCTCCCTACTTTTGGTATTGCTTCCAGAATACCTTTACTTAGTAACCATGATCAGTATAAGAGAAAGCATGTGGGTGCTTGTGGGGTTTTTTGGCTGGGGGTAGAGGGGTAGTTTTTCTAGTCTACTTGTTGCTTTTATTCACTGTGGCTTTGTTACTCCAAAGCTTAGCAACAACTGGTTTCCTGAAGAAATCTGAATTCTTTGATTCCCTCCTGTGGTATATTTGGTTGGTAGGAGTGATGGTGAATGAAATATTTTTTGTTTTCGTGTCGTGTACCTGCCTCACTTTCAGGATCTTCACCTTGAGCCAGAAAAATTAGTTTTCCCTTGCAGCATATCCAGCTGTCCCTACTAGACACTGCTTTTCATTTCTACAGTACTTTCTGCACACATCCCTGTTATAGCATTTGGAGTTCTGAAATGTTGAGTTTTCTCTCTAAATAAACTGTACTTGTTGAGGGCATGGAGAACTATCTATCATTTTTACATTTCTTCTACATATCCCAGAGCATGACGGTGGTAGTTGGGTAGTGGGATAGAAAAAATGAATGAAGCAGGCTTGAATTAGGATCCTTGTGATTCTATTACACATGTTCTCCCCTTATTTTGACAAAGTTAGATAATTTATAGGTATTTTGGTTACTTGAACTTTAATAATGTGCTAATATATTTAATAACATGCTAATATGCATATTTAATAATATGCTAATAATAATGTGCACCCAAATCACTTATTCATTAGCCTGAAAAAACTTAAAATTCACCAAGACACTTAAAGTGTTATATAGCCGTCGAATATTAAGACAGTCATTTCAAAAACTTTGACTTAAAAAAAACCTAATTCAGAATCCTTATTAAACATATAAAAATGAAAAGATGGGACTCCTAAATACAGAAAGTTCTGCTATAATTCTATTTAAAAATACAAATTTATTCCAACATGATTGCTTCATTAAGCAAAAACTTGAGCATTACAAGAATTTTGTTTCTTATGCATTATTTTATCTACATGCTTTTCATTCAACATTTTTAGCAGTGAAATAAAATTTTCTTTGTAGACCGAAATTGTGTATCATCTGGGATTCATTTGTGTTTTTCCTACAAATAGATTAAAAAACAAATAGGGTAACTTGCAGCCCTGGGATCGAAGGGTTTTTGACATAATAGAGTAATGAAATCTTTTGTTTTTCAGCTTACTATTGTAAATTGAAATTTTTATTTATTTATTTATTGGTTGGTCACAACATTACAAAGCTCTTGACATATCATATTTCATACATTAGAATCAAGTGGGTTATGAACTCCCATTTTTACCCCAAATACAGATTGCAGAATCACATCGGTTACACATCCACATTTTTACATACTGCCATATTAGTGACTGTTGTATTCTGCTACCTTTCCTATCCTCTACTATCCCCCCTCCCCTCCTCTCCCATCTTCTCTCTCTACCCCATCTACTGTAATTCATTTCCCTCCTTGTTTATTATCCCATTCCCCTCACAACCTCTTATATATAATTTTGTATAACAATGAGGGTCTCCCTCCATTTCCATGCAATTTCCCTTTTTTCTCCCTTTCCCTCCCACCTCATGTCTCTGTTTAATGTTAATCTTTTATTCCTGCTCTTCCTCCCTGCTCTGTTCTTAGTTGCTCTCATTATATCAAAGAAGACATTTGGTATTTGTTTTTTAGGGATTGGCTAGCTTCACTAAGCATAATCTGCTCTAGTGCCATCCATTTCCCTGCAGATTCCATGATTTTGTCATTTTTTAGTGCTGCGTAATACTCCATGGTGTATAAATGCCACATTTTTTTTTATCCATTCATCTATTGAAAAAAATTTTCAAATATTGATATATTGATTAAGGGGCACAAGCTCAAGAGTGGGGGAGGTAGTTCTTTTAAAATAATAATGGGGCCATGTATTAAGGCTCAAATCTGGATTTTTATTGCAATAACAGTCAACTCTTCAAATTGTTTTTGAGACTTTCTTTTCTTTTTTCTTTATAGGACCTCTTTGTTGTTAGACATGAATTGGCCATAATGAGACTAGCTGCCTTTATGGGTATTACTATGTTAGTTGGAATAACTGGACTCTTTTATACACAACTAATTGGTATTATCACAGTAAGTATATTTTTAATGTGAAGTGACATTGTATGAACATATTACCTAATTATGAGCTTAATTCTAAAGTTACAAAAAATTTAGACATCAAAGGAGGAATCACCTATAATCTTTAATATATTTCCTTCATATGCTTGTATATAATTTTAAGAAAGTTATAATGAGGTTCAGGAGAGTGTATATAAGATTTTGTATCCTGTTTTTGAAGATTAACAGTATTTTTGCATGACTACATACTTTGTGTTTACAGCTTTTTAAAATAGTTATATATTCTCTGTTTAATGAATATACTATATTTTAATTAACTATTTTATTGTTGATTGGCATCTAACATGCAGTCACTTTTTCTATATTAAAGATAGCACTGTTTTCATCATCTCTTTTTTTTTTTTAAAGAGAGAGAGAGAATATTTTTACTATTTATTTTTTAGTTTTTTGGCGGACACAACATCTTTGTTTGTATGTGGTGCTGAGGATCAAACCCGGGCCGCAGGCATGCCAGGCGAGCGTGCTACCGCTTGAGCCACATCCCCAGCCCTCTTTTTTTTTCTCTTTAAACTATTTAGACTAAATTCTCAAAAATTGAGTTGCTAGTACACTTCATTAGTAATTTTTTTTTTATTTTTGCATGTATTTTTAGTTTGATATACAAACTAGCAATAAGTGATTGTCATTGCTTATCTAGGATGTCTGAAAGGCTGATTGACATCATCTCATTTTATGTTTGGTACAGAAAAATCTTGAAATAGTGTCATCTATTTTTATATGAACTTAAAAACTATTTACTTGTTTATTTGCCTTTTCATTTTTTTTTCACACTGCCTAACTGGAACAATTGTATTGAACACAAGAAGTATTATATTAGGTACTAGTTCCCTCAGGGGTGCACTTATTTTTATGTTTCATAGGTCAATTTGAGACTATAGGCATGTAAGCCATGAAAGAGTAAGATAGAAATATACATTATAGTACCATGCTTTTTCTTCATGCAGAGATGATCCCTTTACCATAGCAGAAAAGATTTTTTAAAAATGAGAAAAATCCTATTAAGAATTTAAAAGATAATATACTATATTATACAAAATATAGAGCATATAAATTTTCTTGTACATTATTGATGGGAGAATAAATTGGCTTAACCTCGTTGAGCAAATTGTCAACGTCTTTCAAAATTTGAAATACACAGCCTTTTTGACTGTCCCACAAAGTTGTTTTTTATAAGCTATTTATTTGTGTGTAAACAGGTAGCTAAAGGTCTCCAGCATTATACATAACATATATGTATATATATTATGTATAAAAATTGTTGTTACCAAAATACATAATATACAGTGAAAAAAATATAGTAAGAAAAATGTATCAACACTATCATAAATCAACAAGAAAAATGTGGTATTGGCATAAGGATAGACATAGATAAATAGAATTGAGAGTCCAAAAATATAGTTGTCCCTTGCTATCTAGAGGGGATTGGTTCCAGAATACCCTGTGGATACTGAAATTTGTGGTGAGTGCTCATTTCCCTTATATGAATTGGCATTAATATTTGCATACACATCCCACTGTATACTTTAAATTATCTCTAGATTACTTATAATACCTAATATAACAGAAATGCTGTGTAGATAGTTGCTATACTGTATTGTTTAGGGAATCGTGACCAAAAAGAAAAATCTGTGCATATTCATTAGAGACACAGTTTTTTTTTCCCCAAAATATTTTCAATCAATGGTTGTTTAATTAAATCTATGGGTGTGGAACCCACAGATATGGAAGGCCAACTATGCAAGTACTGTTGTTATATGAATAGTGAGTTGATATTCAGCAAAGGTGCCAAGACAATTCAGTGGAGAAAGAAGTCTTTTCAATAAATGATACTATTTTCTCATTCTGTAAGCTGTCTTTTCACTTTCTTGTGTCCTTTGAAACACAAAAGTTTTTTAAAATTTTTATTAAGTCCAATTTATTTATTTTTTTTACTATTTATATTCTGGTAAACAATTTTTCATGCATGACATGTAGGTTATGTAATTCTGGAGACCTTTTTAGAATACATGATTACACATGTTCAAATAGGTAGCCACTCCAAAGGCTGTTGCATTAAACAGGTTGGTCAGAAGGGCTATGCATTTTATATATCCATAAGCAGAAGAATGAATAGACCTCTTCTTCACAGAATAAACAATAAATTAATTAAAAATGGATCATAGTCTCAGATGATTGAACAATAACTCTTAGAAGAAAACACAGGAGTAAACTTTGGTGGCCTTGGACTAAGCAATGGTAGTATCTTAAATATATCATAAACTACCAAAGAAAAAAATATCATATAAGTTGGACTTAATCAAATTTATAAATTTTTGTACTTCGAAGGACACTTATCAAGAAATTCAAAGACAGTTCAGAGAATGATAGAAAATATTTGCAAATCATATATCTGACCAGGAACTTGTGTTTGGAGTATATAAAGAACTTTTATAATATAATAATAAAAAGGCAACTCAACTAAAATATGGCGAGAGGATTTATCCAAAGAAAATATGCAGATGGACAGTAAGCACATGAACAGATACTCAACCTCATTAGTTGTCAGGGAAATGCAAATCAAAACTGTGATGATATACTACTCCAAAACTACTAGAGTGGCTAAAGGCTGATAATAAGAATTGTTGGTAAGGATATGGAGTAATCAGAACTCTCATACGCTGGTAATGGTGATGTAAAAGGGTGCAGCCACTTTAAAAAATAGTCTGGCAGTTCTTTGAAAGTTAAACGTAGAATTACCATTAGACTCAGCAGTTCTATATGCCTGTATCCACACAAAAACTTGCAGATTTATGGCAGCATTATTCATAATAACCTAAACTGAAAATAATCTAAATGTCCATCATTTGATAATGAATACACAAAATGTGATGTATCCATCTAATAGAATATTATTTGTCCATGAAAATATGGAAGAAACGAAGTACTGATACATGCTACAACATGGGTGAACCTTGAAAATATTATGCTAACTGAAAGAAGATCCCATCTTTATGATTCCATTTATACAAAATATACAGAATAGGAAAATTTATATAGACAGAAAATAGATTAATGTTTGACTAGGGCTGGTGGACAGAGGATGATAGCTATGGGGTACATGGATTTTTTTATGGGGTGATGAACATATTCTAGAGCTGAAATTACTAGGTCACATAAGATTGGTTCATCTTATAAGAAACTATCAGACCTTGTACCCAAATGGTTCTGCCATCTTTCATTACTACCAATAATATATGAGAATTCTGGTTGTTTCATATCTTCCTTATCATTTGCTGTTGCCAGTCTTTTTAATTGTAGTTATTCTGGTAGTTTTAAATACTATCTTGTTTTAATTTGAATTTCCCTGATGATTAATGGTGTCAAACACTTCTTTGTGTGCTTTTTAGCATTTCATAGATCTTTGAGAAATGTCTGAATATTTCATTATTGAGTTTGAAATACTTTTTAGTATCCCTTGTGATTTCTCTAATAATGATGATGATAAATAACGTTGTATTAGTGACATTACCAAAGATGAGAGGAAGTTATTCCCTAAAATATCTTTTTCTGCTTTTATACTTGTTCATAATTTAGAATAATGAACTCCTAGTTCATAAGTCTTGTCAAAATTGACAGGTTATGCTTGCATCTTTGGAATCTGCTTTTTTGAATTTACCCAAATCATTGATATATACTTGTATTCCTGTAACAGGATTTTTCCAGTGCTTAACCATTAATGAGTGGGAAATGGACCTTGGGAATATAACAACAAAGAGTACATGTACCTAGTGAGGACTGTAAACTAGGGGTTAATAGCAGAGGATAACAATTTCCTTCCCACCTCCTAGCTCCATAGCTTCAGATAGTTAAGGTTTTAAGATCTTTTGAAGACCCTTACTCTAAAATTTTAATATTCTTTTCTRAGTTGGACATAGTAAGTTGTTTGTTATTTTTGTTCATTTTTAAAGATCGTATATATCAAGTACTATTCTGACTATTCCATTCTGCAAACAGAATTTAATGAATAATATTCATTCTCAAGTTGCACAGTTTTATTTTGTTGTTGTTGTAATATTGAACATTTCATTGTATAAAGGAGGGATGTTGAGTTCTGATGTGATATTTCTAAAACAGTGTAGAAACCACATTTGTTAAATAATGATCTATCCAAAAGCTTTATCTCTTTTGCATGCATGAAATACCTCTCAGAACATTCTGTACCAGGCAGAGCTCTATCTAAGGAAATTGCATATCTGTGAAACATTCATAGAAAAATAAGTATTGAAAGAGATTATATTCTATTTGTTAGTSTGATCTTGAGTCACTTTTAGTTACTCTTGAATGCAAATACAATATAAATTATTGTCAATTTTAATTGCATTTACTTGTACCTTCATAGTGCATCTCAACCACTACTTTTTTTGAATTAGAAAAACAGTATTCATGAGTTCCCAGAATGTCCTCCTCCCACATTGATGCAAATTCTTTAAGGCTTAGTTATTTAAAGTTGTTAGTATTCAGTGTTTAATTTTTAATCTAATGAATTATTAGCATCTTACTAAAATAGTATTTAATATTTTAATTAAGATTACAATATAGATTATACTTTCTTTGTAAAGTGCTTTTTTTCTGTTTTGTTTAATGGTAAAATTAAGATTACCTACAGGAAATTTCACATCTGGATATGTTTTTGTGAGAAGTGATGAATTTGTCAGGTAGCATAAGAAAGAAAAGAAATATTTAATAATTTCACTGAAGTTTTCCTCCATCCCCTATCCCTGTACCTCAAAGATCCAAGAGGCATTTTGGGATAACACTGGTGGGGATGTCAGTTCATTATATAAAATTGCATAGCTTGATTACAAGCCTATTAGATAAACAGCCAAAACAAATGCTCTCTCTTTAGGTTTAGCTTGAGATTTCAGGGAAACAGTATGTCAGTTTTCAGTAATTTTTCTCCATTATTCATTTTA